TGCATATGTAAGTGTATATAAATTAATGTACAGTCCCTTTTTTTTACAAACTTAATATTTGATACAAAATTATAAATCATTTTTCATATTTAATTTCATATATGAAACATGACGTGTGAAATTAAAATGTTTATACAGTGTTGTTTAATATTTGAAATGTTAAAAAATATTTCTTTTTTCACATAACAAACAGTCATGAACATTTCTTATGTGAACAAYACGGCATATACATTGCATCTTTACACATGTGAACTAATACATGAAAACTATTTTATAAGTTTATACGCTTTATTAGGTTTGTAAATGATTACAAATCTATTAATAATATTCATATATATATATATATATATATATATATATATATATATTTGTGTGTGTGTGTAAGGTTGAGTTGACGGTTAGACCAGTCTGTTTTCGTAAGACCCGTGAGACCATATCTTTACACTTGAAACTTCACAGCAAAATGTTGTGAAGGTAAAAAAAAAGTCGAATCTTCACGACAAAAACACTGTGAAGGATACCTTCACAACGTTTTTCTATGAAGTTTCAAGTGTAACAAGTGATCCCACGTGATTCTAAGTATATATATATATATATATATAGATATATATATATATATACATTTAAATTTATTGTGTATGTATGTATAATGTATATGTATGTAAAGTGTAATATTGGGTGTTAATTGGTGATATTTGATAATAGTGAGTCATATTTGGTGTATGTGGGTTATAAAGTGATATTGGGTTTGAGCGTCTTCTACTTGTAAGGAGCTTCAATGAATCATTAATTATACCTAATTATAATAGGATCTATCATGACAATTTTCAACCCGATATGACACATACCCATGTTACAACTATGTATATATAATGTGCATTTATATTTATATTTATATTTATATTTATATTTATGTGTTCGTAAATACTTCTTTTTTGAAAACATCTATCAATATCTATGACATTCCTCCCTCAAGTGGATACCGAAAGCCTTGCGATAATTTCCACAAGCACAAATTCCTCCAAAATATCTTTCACAAAATAATCCATCATGGTATATCTCTTGTTATTCCGATTCGGCTTTGAAGATTAATTCCTGAAAGTCTTTTATGTAATCCACTTTACTGTAACATCTCCGGTAAAGACACCATCATTTCTTAACGTATTTTTTGCACTACTTTTTCTTAAAAGAAGAATGTTAGAAAGGTGTAATCAACACTCAACATTAAAATTGACGTCACAAAATTCATTAACATTGTATCATGTTAATTTTTTGAAGTTACAAATTGGTCCTTCAAACTTGGTGAAACATTATTCATTTACATCAATAGCCCATTCATCCTTCTCCTTCTCCATCATCACAAGGCAAAGAATATTTATCTCAAAGCTTCAAACGTTTTACGATTCATCCCAATCGTATACGAGCTACTAAGTTTGAAAGAATGCTACAAAATAAAAATCAACCCTTTGTAGTTAACTGTGGGTGTTCGGGCCAGCTTGCACGTACCTTGATTAATCCATGGGACCCACAAGGCCAGGAAATTCCCAATGGCCTTGGAGGGTGTCGAACGAGTGACCTCTGAGGAGGAATAATGAGTCTTCTTAAGTTAGCTTGACGAAGAACATGCAGCTTATGATACAGTTTTCCATGTTATGTTTTGAAAGAAACGTAGCTCGACTGCAGCTAGTTTGGACTTCATCTAAGAGAGACTCGAGATCATGGTTAAATCRTTCGATGGGCAAGATGGAAGAGATCCTGATCTGGGGTAGTTACGATTTTCTTGGTCTCAACAGATTCTATTGGGCCCCGACGGGCCACCGTCCACGAAGGGTGGGCCTTCGGATTAAAAACCCAATATATAATTTACATGACCCGTTAGTAGGAAAGAATCTCTATTACCCCTACCCTATTCTCTTCAATAACATTTCATATTTTTCTCTCATCCACTATCACTTAATTTATATATTCATAATGAATATACCATCTTTGTATGTTCACCCATTACATAAAGAGATCTAAAAAAAACCTATAAAGGAATAAGCTTAAACCTGCAATCTCCATCTGGGTATATGAATCTTGGGATACAACAACCATTTTAACAGATTGCACATATAAAAAAATGGATGATAGTATGCAAATGCAAGAATACCTGTGACCAATGTAGATGTATGTGTTTGTCTTCCATGATCATGATGTCAGAKGAAGACATGCAACAAGAATCCCGATGTTCTTTTTGTTTTTGGTAACCATGGATGTCCAGATCAGCTTACACATACCTCGTTTACTGAACCCATGGGCCTTTAAAGACAACAGTCAAATAAATTTCCAACAGTCCGAGAAGAATTGAACTGGTGACGAATGAGATGCAGCCCCAAGACCTGGTCTTTATTAGGTTGAGATTGCATAGATCCTTATAACCTTATCAATCTTGGACCGACAAATAGGGCAAGTTCCATTTCTGGATTCTATCTCATGTAAACAAGTCATACAACTAGCCATATGTCCACAAGGTACACAAGCTCCCTCAACTGGAGCTTCCCAACATACCACACACAATGCACCACCATTGCCGACTTCGTTGGTGGCAGAGTGTTCATTGAAACCACCGTCGGGAATTGGTGGAGCTGAAGGAAGTGGTGGAGRAGCCCAAGATTCGACCTTTAATGGTGTCGATTTTGCAATGGGAAGAGAATTCACATCAATTTCAGCTTCCTGGCTAATGGGCTTGGATTCAGGTGCATCCCACCCGTTATAATCGCCTTCAGGAAGCTCATCCATCCATCCACCGCTTCTACCAGCWGAACTCTTCCCTTTTCTGCCAGACTCTGATCGCGATCCCCATCCGTTGTACTCATCTTTAGGCTTCTCACCCACCCATCCGTTATTAGTTGCTTCAGATTCAGGCACATCCCACCCGTTATTATCGCATGCAGGCAGCTCATCCATCCATCCACCGCTTCTACAAGCTGAACTCCACCCTTTGCCGCCAGACCCGGATCCCAAACCCCATCCGTTGTACTCATCTTCAGGCTTCTCGTATCCCCATCCATTTTTGGTTGCTTCTGGAGTGTGAGATCTCGGCAACGAGACCGATCCCCAGCCATTATAATCGTTCTCAGGTGGYTCATCGGACCATCCATTGGTTTTTKCTCCAGAAATACTAGAAGCAGAAGATGAGTCCCAACCATTAAACCTGGTATCATCTGCTGTATCCTCCCAACCCTTTGCTTCACTGAATTCAGAGTTTTGAGGGATTTTTCTGAACAATCTGGTAAGGAAAACTGGTGTTCTCTTCTCCATTGAAGCTGGAAGAAGAAAAAAACAACWACTAATTTTGAACCTCAAATTGATTCAGTTTATTCAAATTTCGAGTCGATCTTGGTTTGGGTTATCGCCAGAACCATAAACAACAGCAAATCGATATTRATCGCACACAAATTCCACGATTTTCCAAATYAAAACTACTTCAAATCGTCGATTTTCGTTTGAAATCGATACTTGTGATAAACGTAAACTGCACAAGTATTAATCGAGCATTGAGATTCTCTGAAAAGAGGAATCGATCGTCATCTTAAAATCATCCAATTTTAGGGTTTGTATGAACTTCCTTTTCGTCGCAAAACAGAGATTAAAAACGGTGGATGTAGTAACAGATCGATTTGATTCATGGAGCGTGAAGAAAACGAAAACTATAATGGAGTATACCTCTAATGGCGGCAGCTTCTCCTCTGGTTGTGCAGATCCAAGGCTTCGTCTCCCTCCAGCCACTGGTTTTGGTGGTTATTAGGATGATTGCAGACCACTAACTTACCAGGGGAAATCCTCAAAATCCTCTAGCCAATGAAATTCAGCCACTTTTTCATCAAATTCCCATTTTAGCAAAACTTTATGCAAAGACCCGTTTACTAAACACTTCCTAGGTAGGCGCTTTAACGGTAAAATTTTAACATTATTATATGCTTATTGGTAAGATTTTAGTCCATCAAAACGGCATCGTATACAACAATTTACCCGATAAACGCTTACTGTGGTAAAAGTCATCGTTCTCACTTTCCGGGTAAGACTTGTGGTCCTTGTCTCGCTCTTATCGGGTAAGATTCTTGGTCCTTACATATTCATCCGGTGAGATAACATGACTTGATAAATGCTTACCCGGATAAGTGTTTGGTAAACGGACCCTTAAAAGAATAGAAATATTGTTTTCGAGAACAAAATAATGGACATTTTTCCGSATCCTTATTGCGCATGTTACTATCCCTTTGACAATTAAATAATTTAATTCTTTTTTAAAAAATGGGTCAACTACAAATTTCCCTCTTATGTGAATATGTGAAACATAAATCAAATCCAAATAAAATGAAGCAATGAAAAACATTACCTTCCGAAAGCACACTCGATCCATCAAAATGGTAGGTTAATATTTTGGCAAAAAGTTGATTACCGMCAACTTTAATCKGCTTCACATGGACACCGCCTCCAARGACACCAATGTGAGGTGACATTTTTTTGGCTCGGATCGAACCCAGAAGTTGTTTATATTGTTTTCAGAYTGAACCAAGAAATCAAATGGYTAGYAAGCAACTCGAATAACTCAAATTTMTTCAGCTTCGACAACCYTTTCTAGAATGAGATGTRTCTATATAGCTTTTTAAGATGACGATCATAATAAACCAATATTGATAGCTAAATGGGCCATTGGACAKTATTTGTCTCAGACATATAATATTTAAGCAACGGYTGAATTGGATAAGTCATTGTATATTTGTTGTACAATTCAGCCATATTATTCCAAACTGATATCGACAGGAAAAAGAACAAACAAGTGAAACAACCCTAAGCCCTATATGAGTTAAGTTGTTTGTCCAGATGAGAAACGGGAGACCGATGGGTTTGAGGGAGGCAAATAGAGAGCGTTGGATTATTTATGGGGCATCTGATATTAATTTGTCTGAGGTGGCTTAATGGAGGGCAAGTGAAGTGTCATGGCTTATTCCATATAGCCATTTGGCTTAATAGCTTAGCTTAACGACTAAGTAGYTGTTTGGTTGGTTTCCCATTAAGTTACAAGATAAGCCATCTAGACTATTAAGTTCAGTAAGTTGTAAGTAAATAGCCCTCTCTCTCTCTCTCTCGTTGCTAAACTAATTGTGGAATCTTTCAACCACCTTTGACCATGTTATCGTACCCTTCAGCTATCTTCCAAAACAATACCTAAATGACTTCTACAAATTCATAATTGTTGTGGTTCTTGTGGAAAGTGCTAATTTTGATGTCAAATACGCAAATACGTGTAGATTATGGTTGTTCTTATGAGATTGATGAGTAAAATCGTGCAGTAAAGAATATGCCCAAAAGGCAGGTTCACTAAAACTCACTGYAGAGCACTGGTATATTTATTCAGTCATTTCGTCGAACACTATCCATGCAAATACGRAATGACATGAAATCTACAAATGGGAAAAGAGTAAAATACAATGGATTACAACTTTTAAACCCAGTAAAAAGAAACACACAGAAATCTAAGCCAAAAATCATAAAATTTTCTACGGACATCTGAAATACGGAAAAGRTGTTTGAAACGGCGGCATATAGAACTTACCGGCAACTTTTTGAGGATTAAATGACTTTCCGGCAACATTATGCTTCGAAATAGGGTGTTTTCGCGAGCTCCGACGATGAGGGTTTTGTAATTTATCGAATCCGATATCARGGCAGTCACATGGTGATGTCCGGCGGCGGCCGCTTACGGTGGTTAAAAGAGACCTCTTYTGTAAGGAARTCGATTATCAAGGKGCATAATGGGAAATATTGTTCGTATCTTTGGGGTCGGGCTCTTCCTGTTTATTTCATTAGAAAATAAAATTGCAACTATTTCTTTTAGAGTAAACTRTAAATTTGGTCCCTGTGGTTTCTCAAAAATGACATCTTTTGTCTTTATAATTTTGAAAATCATAAGATGGTCATCTTGATTTTCAAAAACGACTGGATTTGATGCGTTCCTCTAATACCCGTTAAAGGATTCCGTTAAGGGAGGAATAATTTTGTTCTACTATCGACTTTTTTGTTGTTACCCAATCAAAACCATAGGGATCAAAATTATGAATCCAATATTGATCGAGTAAATCGATAAAAGGATGAAAATATTTCTCATTTAAAGGGATGTTTTAGCGTTCGAACATTTTTGTAAATCACGATAGTTAAGTTGTAATTTCGAAACTAAAAAGACGAAAAGTGTTATTTTTGACAAATCATAGGGACCAAATTTATAGTTTACTCTTTCTTTTTTAAGTATTAATTTGTAATTTGGTAATTAAATTTTAAAAATAATTAAATGAATATTGATATATTGATAAAAGTTTCATTTAAAGTAATATAAATCAAGTTCATTATTATTTTATTGAAATATAAAAATTGAAACTGATATTATTTATGTTATGCTAAACGCAGTATTTCGAAGATCGATCATTGATAATTACCTCGTTGGTTGGAACCGCAACGTAATGAAAATACATGTTGGAAAATGATGAAGCGTTTGAACAAACGTTGAATAAAGCATAATCCAAATCTTAGCCATGAGAGGTTATTTTTGTCTGCTCAGCCAATTTTTTCTCAAGGACCAAAACGTTAACATGTTCTCTTTCTTTTTGTTCATAAAACGAAACAGTTGGAGCTGTTTCATAAATGGACTTAAATGAAGTTGCTTCGTTAATTGCATTAAGAAGTTGCACTTACTAATTGGTTTCTTTTGAAGTAGCATTGGAAGTTTAATCGACTTTTTATATGACTTAGTGCTTACTTTGATGTCGTGTCGTTTAAGAATTCGACCGTAGAGTTTTGGAAGACTCACGACTTGCTGGCCTTTAGGATTTGCTTTTGCACCTCAAACGAGGTCTTATAACGCTTTAGGTCAAATTTGATCATTAGAATAAACATATACAAACCAGATGGTACATTTTGGTTAATTTGTCATCCTCTCTCCAAATTCTAAGTAGTTGCTTGTGTTTGGCTATCACTCATGCTTGTTGTAGTAATTGTGAGAATACAGATCTTGATCATCTTGAATGTATACAACTGTAAGTTTGTAAAACCATATCACATGTTTGTGTTGTTCAGCTTAATTTATGTGTATATATGTATATGTTCATCCTACATATTCATATAAAAAATTTGGTAGATAAATGACTGTTTAATGACCGAATATTGAGCTAATTCTAGATTCAATTTGGTAGAAATATGGGTCACGAGATCCTTTCCAAACTAACCACCCAAAATTAATAAATTATACTTTTAGCCCCATTTTTTAAAAATTTCACCAAATGACCTTGGGTTACCCTGTTAACAT